AGAAATAATATTCGTAGTAACATTTGTTAAGCATTTTCTATGAGCCATAACCCTCTAACTGCCCTTTGCACACTACCTTATTTTGTAGGTACTATCACTATCCCCATTCTATAAATGAGCTGAAGCTGCAGGATTAATTATCTTGCCCAGGACCCTAGCTAATAAGTAGCGGGGCTAAAATTTGTCCCCCAACAGACTGAGCCCAAAGTCTGTCTTTTAACTTCTGTACATGCTGCCTCCCAGAGGGAAACTGGTCTTGGTAAAAGTGCTGACAACCGAGTGCTGGGAGCTGGCTTTTGCAGATTATTGAGCCCAATGCTGTGGCTGATTGTTCTTCCCTGGGGAGCGGGCCGGGGCATCCATGAACTCCTTGTGGCCACTCCAGTTTCCAGTATGAACACACCTCCCCCCACAGCTACTCTGCTGACCTTGGCACACTGAGCTCTCTCTTCCTCCACCCTGGATTAGCTGTGTAGTGTTAGGAAGGGGGTTGGATCTGACCGCATGAGGGGCAGGACAGAACTGCATCACTCCTGTTCTCTAACTCTTCTGTGGTTGTTTCTCATCCTAGAAAGTTACCCCATGTCTTTCCTGTCAAATCCCCATGCTGTTCGTCTCTCTTCTGTTCCTTCATTGGTATCCATGCTGCCCAGGGTGTTCTTTTTTTTTTTTTTTTTTTTTAAAGATTTATTTTATTTATACAAGAACCGGGGTACAGGTCAGATGTGCAGGAGGGTGAGAGGGTTCACTAGAGACAGAGTGGGGAACAGAACAGGCAGACTAACGAAATACACTGCTGAGGGGAGCAGCGGGCAAGACAGGAGAGGTCTGCTCACCATGTGGGTTGCTCCGAGGCTGGCGGGGATTGAACCGGCACTGCAGAAGCTGCGGACAGCTTCACAGCACTGTGCTCAATGGCCTGCACCACCAGGGAGGTCCCCCAAGGTGTTCTAAGCCACTCACTAGCTGTTATAGTTTCCATTCCTTTACTGGATCACTTGAACTTGGGGAAAGGCCACTAATCCTTCTGTCTTTCCATGTTTTTGGGTTCTAGGAGCTTCAACTCACTTTGAGAATTCTTTTGAGGGTTCATCATTTGCCATGGGCGACATCGCCCTGGCACTGTACTCAGCTCTGTTCTCCTACTCGGGTTGGGACACCCTTAACTATGTCACTGAAGAAATCCAGAATCCTGAGAGGTAGGTATCTTTCCTTCAACTTGCTATGGCCAATATGGGATTATTTACCCAATAATCATTATTTACTGAGCTCCTGCTGTGCTAGAAAACATACCACAATTGCCACAGTTGATTTTATCAGCCCCTGGTCAGAGAAGCAACTTGTCCATGACCATGGTAATAGTTGAGATGTGACTTTTCTCTCTCTCTATATATATATTTTAAAAGATTTATTTATCCATGCATACAAGAGCTGGGGTGCAGGCCAGAGATGTGGGAGGTGAGAGGATTCACCAGAGACAGAGCAGGGTACAGAACAGGCAGAATGACTGAAATACACTGCGGAGGGCAGCAGCAGGCAAGATAGGAGAGGTCTGCTGTGCCATGTGGGTTAGCTCCCTGGCCGGGGATTGAACTTGCACTGCAGTGGCTTCGGATAGCTTCATCTTAATCCTTTGAGCCACCAGGGAGGCCCCTATATATATTTTCTTTTAAGAAAAAATTTAGGGCCTCCCCGGTGGCGCAGCGGTTGAGCTCTGGGTTGTGAAGCTGCCCGCAGCCTCTGCAGCGCCGGTTCGATCCCCGGCCTCCTGGTGAGGGTCCCATATGGTGTGCAGACCTCTCCTGCCGCCCGCTGCTCCCCTCAGCAGTGTACTTCATCAGTCTGCCTGTCTGCTCTCCGCTCTGACTCTGGTGAATTCTCTCACCCTCCCACGCTTCTGACTGTACCCAGTGCTTGTATAAATAAATACATCTTTAAAAAAAAAAGAAAAAAATTTAAAAAGGCATTTTCACTTTTTTTATACATTCTGCATTAATTAAAGCAGGTGTACCATGTGCTCACATGTACTTTTTTAAATTTAAATTTTTTTTATTTTTGCGTAGAAGAACTGGGGTACAGGCCAGAAGTGGGGGCAAGGGTGAGAGTATTCACCAAAGACAGAGTGGGGAGCAGAACAGGTGGATCTACTGAAATACACTGCTGAGGGGAGCAGCGGGCGAGACAGGAGAGGTCTGCGGTACCATATGTGGGTCACCGCCCTGGCCAGGGATGGAACCCAGGCCATAGCTCAATAGAGTTTTCACCACTCATATCCCTAGAGATAACTTTAGATCATAGACTCCCAGAAACTTGTAGTTTCCCTTCTGATCCTGTCCATGTTTTTCAGATTCATACGGATATAGTTGTATGTTTTAGCTACTCAATGGTCTGACCTTACCATTTTTACTTTAAATGACCCTGTAGTCATCAGAGTGAAAAGAGCACGTGGTAGGGAGTCTACCGGCCTGGGGCCTCTTTTTCCACTGAGTTGTTGGATGAGCTGGAGTCCCTGCCATCTCTTTGTAATTGATGGGGGTGAATTATATGATCTCTAGAGCCTTTCCTGGCTCAGGGAATTAAGATTTCCCAGGGAGTGAAATCTTCGTAAACGTTTAAGTCAAAAGAATAATGAACCCTTTTGACTTTCAGAAACAGGGGATACTCCGTCAACACATTCAGTGTTGCAACCCTGAGAGAATATAAAGGCTGCAGAATGGAGACCTGGGTGGTGCTTCCACCTACTGGACAGAAGCTGAACTACTTGGGTGTCCCTCCCTCCTCCAAGCCCTGCCCCCCCCACCCCCCACATTTGTTTCTGCAGTCTCACTGTGAAAAATATTTATAAAGATTATGGCTTTATGGGGCTAGAGGGACCTTGAAGTTTGTGCATCTTTCTCTTGCCACCCATGAGGATGGCATCCAAGGTTCCCACGCTGAGTAAGGTGGCTGGGGTGGACATGACTTCCAGCCTGCTTGTTAAGATACACACATTGTTCTTCCTCCTGAGGTGTCTTATTCTTTGGAGATGTTAAAGTTCACAGTTTGCCTTCATAATCTCTGCTTATTTCTCAACCTTAAAATAAATTTTCCAAGCAGGAATCTAGAAAACTTAAATAAGGGACCAGGAAAAAGAATAACTATAAGAAAGAAAATATCAAAATCAACAAATAACTATGAACAAGAGACACTCTATGGGGGTTGGGGTGGGGGTGGGGAAAGGAGGGCTTGGGGTAAAAATAAAGGGGTTGTAATTGTATGGGGAATATAAAAATAAAATTTAAATTAAAAAAAATAAATTTTCCAGTATCGACAATCTTAGAGAAGGAATCCTAATACCAAAAAGATCACTGGGTAAAAAAATAAAACCAATAAACCTCCGATCTTCCTGTGCTTTTACTCTGACATAGTTCTTTTAATCTTTTTTCGTTTAGCCCTTTCTCTAATATGTTATCCCCTTCCCTTGATGCTCTTTAGTTTTTAAGAGCTTAAGCCACTATCCTAGGCAACTTCAAATAGTGTTTATTCAACTTCAAAGGAAATGCCCAAGGAGGTCCTGTCCCTGGATTGGTGTGGTATTGTAAGGATTAAAGGAGAGATGGAGGGCCTCCCTGGTGGCACAGGGGGTTAAGTCTCAGCACTATGAAGCTATTAGCAGCCACTGCAGCACAAGTTCCATCCCCAGCCAGGGAGCTACCCACATGGCGCAGCAGACCTTTCCTGTCTCACCCGCTGCTCCCCTCAGCAGTGTATTTCAGTGGATCCACCTGTTCTGTTCCCCAATCTGTCTCTGGTGAATCTTCTCACTGCCCCCCCCCGCCCCCGCCCTTCTGGCCTACACCACAGCTCTTGTTTGCATAAATAAATAAATCTTTAAAAAAATAAAGGAGAAATGGGGGGGATGTGACTGTGGACTAATGTATCCATCATTCTGTTCGGCTGTAGGAATCTGCCTCTCGCCATTGGTATTTCCATGCCCATTGTCACCGTCATCTACATCTTGACCAATGTGGCCTATTACACTGTGCTAGACATGAAGGACATCCTGTCCAGTGATGCTGTTGCTGTGGTAAGGATTTTCACTAACAGGAGGAGAGTGAGGGTGTGTTTGTGGGCTTCTGGGCATATAGCAGCTTTTTAAAGTCCCAGAAATGGGGTAGTTCTTGAAAGGAGTATGCTTAGGGTACTGGGCTTGCAAGAAGATCTAATTTTCCTATTGTGGAAGGGCTGGGCTCCCAGTAAGGGGGATCTGGGGGCATGTTTATCCATGCCTACATCCTTTATAGGTCCTGCTAATGACTCTCACCTATTCCTTTCCCTTAGACTTTTGCAGACCAGCTTTTTGGAATATTCAACTGGACAATTCCAGTGGCAGTTGCATTATCCTGCTTTGGTGGTCTCAATGCCTCCATTGTGGCTGCTTCTAGGTATGAGTGGCACTTTCATGAGGGAGGGCACTGTGAAGAGCCATGGCTGGGGAGGGTAGGACTCACAGGACCCAGACTTTAGTCACCGAGCACCCCAAATGATATTCACCACCTCTTTGATTTTCTTGTTCCTATCAGCAGCTGCCAGTCCTCACTAATCTCAGCATTGAACTCCATTCTCTAAAATTCTTTTTAAGGAGGGGGGACAGCAGAGGTAGGGATGTGTGGCATGGGAGCCATACCACACCCAGCATTCCAGAAGTTTCTCAACTTCTACCTTACCCAAAACAGGCTTTTCTTTGTGGGCTCAAGAGAAGGTCATCTCCCTGATGCCATCTCCACGATTCATGTTTATCGATTCACACCGGTGCCTGCTCTGCTTTTCAATGTAAGTGACCTCAAGAATGAGGCTAAAAGCCAGAACGTGGGGGAAACTAGTTAACAGTTGATGCAACCATTCTAGCTTTCCAGAAGCTCTAAAGGAGATTCTAATAGAAAAACTATTGGTGGATCACCCGCTGTGACAAGGTAGTGTGCTAACTGCTGCCGTGGTCCTAAGGGAGAAGCTATCTCTAGGGAACAGTAATATCCTCTGATCTAGAATAAGGAATAAAGTACATGGAACGTGCTGTAATAATTGCCAAGGCAACGATGTAGTGTTTAAGGCAAGAAAATGATCATGTCCAACAGGAAAGTCCTGGAGAAGGTGCATTTGAGGCAAACTTTTTTTTTTTAAGATTTTATTATTTATTTTTGCATAGAAGAGCTGGGATGTAGGCCAGAGGTGTGGGGAGGCGGAGTGAGAGGATTCACAGAGACAGAGTGGGAAGCAGAACAGGCAGATCTATTGAAAGACACTGCTTAGGTGAGCAGCAGAGCCAGGAGAGGTCTGTTGTTCCATGTGGGCAGCTCCCTGGCTAGGGATCAAACTCCGGTCATCTGCCACTGTCCAGGTGATAGCACTGAGACTTAACCCCTAGGCCACCAGGAGGCCTTTTAAGGTTACAGTTACAAACTGTAGCAGTGGGCTTTAGGTTGAGAGACAGCGTAAGTCCTGAGGTAAAGCAATGTGGAGCTGGGTATTAGGTAGAAGCTGGAAAAGTATGGTGGAGACCTTAGGAGACACTCTTAGGCAGATTTACGGAATTTTTTAAAGCTGTGCTTTATAGATTAACTTGGCAAGTATTTGAAGAATGCACTGAAAAACCAACTGAGGCTATTGACTTAGCATGAATAACATATTGAAACTAGGGTGGTAGAGGGTGGGAAGATAAAAAGGACTGTCAGGGATACTGAAGACTTGACCAGAAGGATGTGTGGGTGGTAAAGGGGACTGAACAGTACCTTGAAATAACAAAGACCACGTGTGAGGCGCTCACCAGGCTTGTGCCCACAGGGCGCCATGGCACTGGTCTACTTGTGTGTGGACGACATCTTCCAGCTCATTAACTACTACAGCTTCAGCTACTGGTTCTTTGTGGGGCTTTCCATTGTGGGTCAGCTTTATTTGCGCTGGAAGGAGCCTGATCGGCCTCGACCCCTCAAGGTAACTCACCTCTATTCCACTGTGGGTGCTGGGGGGCGTCCTCAGAGATACTTAATTAAGAAATCTTTGCCTAGGATTTGGTGGTGGTGATGTGTTGAGATAAAGGGGGTTGGAAAGAAGGCTTAGTGCTCTCACATTCAGTGTGTGTGTGTGTGATGTTATTTGAGCTGTTGATCCTGAGCTGTCTAACCTCAGTTGTTTCTTATGTGCTCTTAGCTCAGCCTTTTCTTCCCCATTGTCTTCTGCCTCTGCACCATCTTCCTGGTGGCTGTCCCACTTTACAGTGATACCATCAACTCCCTCATTGGCATTGGCATCGCCCTTTCAGGCTTGCCCTTTTACTTCCTCATCATCAGAGTGCCGGAACAAAAGCGACCTCTTTGCCTCCGAAAGATTGTGGGTAAGCTGGATCCTCAAGACGGCTCAGCTATCATACAGCCTGCTTTATCCCCTGCAAATCTAATCTCCCGAGTCATCTTTGCCATAGTCCCTACTGCCAACACTACGGCTTAACCTCAGTTGTTCCCTCAGGCACCACTCTGTTACTAGAACTCAGTCCAATTGACCTCTTAATTTTGATTCAAACTTCTCTCTTTATGTAGCATCTACCACACGGTACCTCCAGATCCTATGTATGTCAGTTGCTGCTGAGATGGATTTGGAAGATGCAGACACACCCAAGCAACAAGATCCCAAGTCCAGCTAAATACGATCCAGAATCCTGAGATGTGGAGAGCAGGGGTCTCTTGCCTCCTACTGGCTGGAGCCAGGGAAGCTGAAAACGAAAGCTCACTCCTTTGGCTTCAACAGCCTTTGAACTTGCTTTTTGAGAGGTGGAATGTAATTTATTTGTTTTGCTACATATTGTTCCAGATTTTTTTTTAAAGGGATGATAAAGCAGACTGTGGGGAGCACGTCACGTGTGGGTTTGGTTGTTCTAATAGCACATTCCCATGTGTTATCACTCAACTCTGGGTGTGCCGATCCACTCTTTTCCTTTAAAAGGGCCAATAATGCTCCAAACTTCCTGTCTCCTTTAGAGAGACATGAAACTGTCAGAGGTGCTGGGCAATAAACAGGTTATGTTCCTAAATTTTGAGCAACTTGATCTTACATAATGTCTTGAAAGTACAAGAGGATTTCTTCCTTCTCAAGGCTGTTGCTGAAGACTGATGTAACTGATCGCACTAAAGGACACCTAAACTGCTACAGTAAAATGTTAGATTAAAACTATGATCAACCTGTTCTTTTTAGTGATAACTAAGAATTTGAGCACATCTTCTTGAAGGATATTTTATAGGTTTTCATGGGCAAATAAATGTGGTTATTCTGTTTAGATAAGCCTCAACCATAGGCACCATGCAAGTGAGGAAGGAACTACCCATCTATGGGATGGGGGCCCAAGCTCTGCATGCCAATTTCCAACACTTCATGGGACCAAACCCAGCAGAAGCCATCACTACCCCAAATTTTTTTGAAACAATCCATTCCCCTGTTTAATGAGTATCAACAAGTAGCACACAGGACAGAGGTTTACTAATTCTGTGAATGGGAAGCTCACTTGGCTCCCCAGTGTTCTTTTGCTTTAGGTGTAGGGCCTGTAGTGGAATTTACTTTAAAATGAGTATCTCCATGTCCCTCAGTTTCTAGGTCCGGAGCAACGACCCAAAGTCAAATCTTATTCTGAGGTTGAGTCTTCGAAGAGACAGAATTCCTGCCAGTATGAGCTGGGAATAGAATTCAACCAAGTGTATCACGCCAGGGCTGTTTTGACTTTGGTTTGTTGCTGCTGCTGCTGCTGTTAGGGGTGTTGGGAGGGTGATTCTTTTCAGGCTGCAGCAGAGGGTTGTGGGTAAAGGTCTGTCTTAAGGGACCTGGGCAAAAAGAAGAAAATAAATCTTGATGAACAAAGGTAAGGAAGAAACAAATGACAGAATTAGTCTGAAAGGGTGATTTACCCCTGGCTGCCAGGTCCAGATGATTCTGCAAGCGTTGTTCACGCTCTCGCAGCCGATGTGCCACTTCGGCATTCTTCCAGCCTGTGTGAAGAGTAGCAAGATGGTCAGTGCAGTACCCACTTCAAACTACTTATCCCTGGTCCTGTTAGGTGGAGGACAGGCTGTTACCTGTCTTGAAGCTCTTTATGAAGCTTTCTCGTGGAAGTAACTTGCTTGGGTCATGCACAACACGCTGGGGGATTTTAAGTACAGTGCGTACAGCTGGAATCCGGAGGCAGGTCACCTGGGCCAGGGAGAACACATTGGAGGAGAGCCAGTACACGAACACAGCCTGCAGGAAAAGAAAGAGAAGGTACTCAGAAGCTGCCTCCCTGGGCAGCTACTGGGGGACAGTTAGGATAGGTGGACGAACCAGGAAACAGTCCCAAAGTCATAACCCACCGTGGGGAAGTGGATAGTTATGGGCAAGACGGCCAGGGGCATCACTCTGATAAAATTTCTCATCCACTGAATATCAGAACTTTGCATACCAGTCTCAGCACCTAACTGCAAAAAACAACATCAAAAAAGGCAGAGGAGTAGCAAATCCAAGTTAGTTTTAGTGAATCGGGTTCATAATTCCTGCTAATCAACTCCGCCAGGGAGTGAAAAATGGCTTTTGTGTACAACCACTTCCTCCTCCATTAGCCAACCTGGCTTACCTCAAGGACACCCCACATTGTAGCAGTGACCACCAGTGGTAATATATAGGTGGGGTCGGATAGCGTGAGATCCTGGAACCATAAGAGGCCACCGGTCTGTAGGCTCGGCACTGGAAGATTGGCCATTTCTCTCAAGGCAATGAAGAAAGAGATGAAGATTGGGGCCTATTAAACAAGATAACAGTATCAGGAACCTTTAGCAGAGGGGACATTTTCATTATTCTGTTATTGGAAACTATGTATAATATCACCACCACTTGCTTTTTGGAGCACGGGAAACACAGAGCAGGTACTCTGAATGGTTCAGGATGAAATAAGAAGGGAGATGTCTTTGCTTACCTGAGTCAGAGGTAGAATGAGAGGTCTCATGAGTTTAACATCATGCTTTTTCTGGTAAAATGCCATCTCCGAGGAGGCCCTGTAAACTGCCAAGTGAAGGGAAATTAATAGTTGGGTTACCCAACAGTTACCTGGGTGGAGGTGACTACCTTCCTCACCTAGCCCATGATATTTCTTTTTTTAAAGATTTCATTCATTCATACAAGAGCTCGGGTGTAGGCCAGAGGTGGGGGGTGGGGGGCAGGATGACAGTATTCACCAGAGACAGAGTGGGGAGCAGAACAGGTGGATCTATTGAAATACACTGCTGAGGGGAGCAGGAGATGAAATACACTGCCAGGAAGACAGGAAATGTCTGCTGCGCCATGTGGGTCAGATCCCTGGCTAGGGATCGAACTCATGCTGCAGTGGCTGTGGATAGTTTGATAGTGCTGAGACTTAACCCCATGCATACCAGGGAGGCCAGCCTATGATATTTCTAACTGACCCCAGCCAGTCACTGGAACCATTTGGCCCACGAAGCAGGTAAATTTTAGAACCTGCCCAACTATAGCAACTCGTGATTTAGGTTGTTCCTTTCCCCTTGGCAGAATGTCCGGAAAAGTACAAGTGTGATCTTCTCCCATGCTCAGCTCATTCTGCAAATGACTCACATTCAGCATGGTCTCCTGTCAACTTGGCCTCTCGGATTCGAGTGGAAAACTTCTGGAGCTCTGGCAAATGATTATGGATCTTGGCTGCCTCTCGCTGGCCCTTCACAATGAGAGGAAACACCAGGCAGCGGGCAAGGACTGTACCTGGAAAACACAAACTAGGATTAAAGTAAAATTAAAGCAGTTCCGTAGCTAAACGTTTGAAGTCTTTAGGTCCTCATTGAGAGGGCCTCTTAGTCCAGTTTTTCCACACTGTCTGGCCCAAAAGGCCCCTCCAAAAGGGGCAGGTGTTCGACTTAGTTCCTTGAAAGCTTAGTCCTTTGACATTGCAAAAAAAGTCCAGGGTTAACTTTTGTAAGCAAATCACAAAAAGGGCACAAACCACTTTTCTAGATGAGTGGTTTCCAAACTTCTATTATTAATGGAATCTTTTTTAAATTTCAACCCTAAGTGTAGTTCCAACATATGAAACAGATAAAATTTAGCTGCCCTGGATAAGGGGGTTATCTGGCTATAAGACTGTTCGAGTTCTGGACTTGCTTTGCTCAGAGGCACCTTTACAGAAAGCTGGGACTCTAGGAATGAAGTTTGAAAGCCATAGATTTAGAAATCCTTGGAGTAGAAGGCAATCTGGTAGTCTATTATTTTAGACTCTCTATATTTTTCTTACACATCACACTTTCTGACCACCCCAACAAATATTTATTTCAATTATGTATCTGCACACAAGCAAGAAGAGCTGAGAAGAGACTGGTGGAGGTGGCGGGGAGGGGGCAGATGTAGCTTTAGGCTAGAGCAACATTATGATAGATGATCTGGAGTGGAAAGAGAAGGGAGCTAAGGATGGAACCCAGAATACTAGCATTGAGGGGTAGGTAGGGCACTGGGCAATGATGATGGGAAGGTGGGGTCAGAAAGACAAGACAAAAACCAGGAAAGGATGTGACAAAAGGATAGACTTTGAAGTCTAAAGTGTCTAGTGGGGAAATGTGAAGATCGAAGAGAAAAGTGGACTTAATAATGAGGTCACTGGCAATTAGAATGACTTGGTATTAATAAGAGTCCGACTGCTGAACGTGGAAGAGTACAAAGAAAAAAGCAAGGCCAGTGGATGCAGAATATTTTAAATAACGGCTACGACAAGGAGAAAGGTAGGTTAGTACTTAATGGGTGAAGGGAAGGAATATCCCTGTCACAAAACATGGAAAGCTTGGGCATGTTTATATTTTCAGAGTAGGGCAGTATGAAGAGAGAAATAGAAGACATGGGAAAGGATGACAGCTGGAATAAGATGCAGAAGAGAGCATTTAAAGCACAGTTTTAGCCTATACAATTTTGAGGTCAGAAAGACCAGGACTAACATTCTCCTTTCATAGAGCAGGACAACTTCATCATCCTTACTTCATCACCCTTTACTCTAACCCTGTGCTCATATTCAAATATCTCAACATTAAATCCTCAGTTAATGTCATTACAGGTTCTTGGAAACTTAGACTTGAAGCAAGAAGGTGAAAGCAGGTCCTCCAACAATGTGGCTTTGTTCAAAGTTGGTGGCAATTGTTTTCTCATCAATAATAATATTGAACAAAATGACTTTGTTTGAGGACGTACTGTATTGCTCGAGTTCCAGATGACCTAATGGTTTAATAAAGCCCATTAAGAAATATAAGTAGAGTGCATCTAAGACTCATGAGCCTCATTTGAAATCATTTGCTGTTCTGACAAATTTAGGCAACTCTTTCCTTGATACACTCATGTATGGCAAAGATAGAATGCCATCTTTAAAGTTCTATCTCCAGGGCCTCCCCGGTGGAGCAGTGGTTGAGCGCTGGGTTGCGAGGCTGCCTGCAGCCTCTGCGGTGCTGGTTCGATCCCTGGCTGCTCCCCGGCCACCGGAGGAGGGTCCCACATGGCGTGCGGACCTCTCCTGCCGCCCGCTGCTTCCCTCAGCAGTGTACTTCGGTCTTTCTGCCTATTCTGCTCCCCGCTCTGGCTCTGGTGAATTCTCTTACCCTCCTGCGCTTCTGACTGTGCCCAATGCTTGTATAAATAAATAAATCTTAAAAATTAATTAAAAAAAAAAGTTCTGTCCCCATTTCTTCTATCTTTGTCCAGGATGTATGCCTCTTACATGCAGCAATGGCCCCCCACCAAGGTAGGCCCAGGTTAACATGTATATATTCCAATAAGTTCTGGATAAGTCCCACTGGGGTGTAGGATCCCAGGCCCAGCTCAGCGAAGCTCTGTTCTGCAGCAGCTTGGACTACATCTGCGGTCTCTCCGGAAGTCACTTCAGTGACTGCAGGTGAGGGAGTTGCAGGGACGGCAGGAGGGGCCTGAACCTGTGCAAAGGAAGCCATGTGTAATCTTCAGTTGGTGGACATACAGAAATTGAGGGCCTCCTTATGATAATCAGTACCACGTTATTCTTTGACTCCCTACTTCTCATTCTCCCAAGTTAGCCTACAGTAGCCACATAATTCAAGCTTAGAAAGGACATTGTTTTTCCCTCTAGAGATGAAGATGTTATAGTCTAAGATTTTATGACTTCCTTTCATGTCAGGAAGTTATTTCTTCTATCAGAGTTTCAAACTTTCAGTCATCTGAGCATCACCGGAAGATGTTGCACATATGATGTCGAAACTATTACAGTTATAATTTTTCTTTATAATAACTTAGTTTTTAAGACCAAAAATATCGATCCTCAGAAATACTATAGCCATGAAATCATGTATTTGATATGCAAGTCAGGATTTTTCTAAAACCACTCTAATAAACCACTCTTGTAAATCTCTGCTGCTGTACTTGCATCAGTTCCCCACTGATTTGAAAATCTATCCCAAGCAAGAGATGCTATCATTTTGGGATGCTGTATTGAGTGTGCACAAGAACTCTGCTCCACATTGGTCTTTTCCTTACTCAAAACAAAATAAAAACAAGCAACCAAGAAGCATCACTCCTAACGTTCCAGGAACGAAGGCCTCTTACCTGGGCTTCGGCAAACGAGATAGCAGAAGTACTGAGGCCTCGGGGGCCCGGGGCCACAAGAAGGGCATAGCGAGGGCGCCCTGGGCACTGGCCTGCAGGGAACAGGAGGCAGGCGGCCGGGGGTTTCCGGGGCCAATGTGAGAGACCAGCGACGCTGTGGAACTGAGAGGGTAAAAGGAAGATAAGCTCTTTCGTCTGGAGTAGATGCTCGTTATGCTCACACCCCAAGCAGCAAGCTGGCTGCCCCCACGGGATACTGCCACTCTCCGCGCGCAGGTGGCTGGCCCGCAGGCATGCAGTTTGTGACTCCTGGATCTCAGGCGCACCCGCGGCCCAGACGTCGAGACTAAGATTTCCTTAGCAGGGGTGAAGCTTGTTCCCGGGAAGGGACAACGGCACCAGGCCGCTGAGCCCGCGGGGTCCCCGCTGTGACCCACCCATGTCCTCCCGCGACCGGGTGTCACGAGACGCAGGGCCCGGCGAGCAGGTTAGCGTCGGCCTCCAGCAAGAGCTGTCCCTGGCTCGGGTCACGGGGGCAGGGCGGCATCCCGGCGCTCAGCCCGGGGCTTCCTTACCCGATGCCCGGGCCGTAACCGGCGCAGAAGCTCCCGGGGCTGGTACATCAAGCGCAACGCCATTTTGCCGGAAACAGCACTGTTCGCGCCTGCGCATTCAGAATCGCCGGCCCCGGTGAGGAAGCCCTTTTGGAAATGGGCGGGAAGCCAGAGCGGTCGCTTCGCTCGCGAGTGAAGGGACGCTGGCGCTTGGCGGCCATATTTGAAGTGGGTAAGACGACTCCGGGGTCACAGTTACAAGGTCACTCAGAGAGGTTTCCGGGGCTTGAAGTTGAGAGGAGCGCCGGCCGTTGAGGGCTGCGTGAACCCAGGGAGTTTCCCTCCCTTTTTTAATTTTGCGATTCTGTTCTGATTTATTGGATTAAAAAGTAGCCTTCATATTGTCTTGACTGCTCCTGGCGTGGCTTTTCCCAGCACAGTGATGTTCAATTCTCACTGTAACAATCGCAGATGTGGTGAAAGTTGAGGATAGTTTGGAGTCTGACAGAAATTGGGGAAAGCAGCTCCTATGCAATATATTCCTTCAAGATTAAAAGACAACATTTCGTGAGGTGACTTCACCTTTCCCTTTTCTTTCTTCCTTTTTTTTTTTTAATATTTATTTATGCATACAAGAGCTGGGGTTTAGGCTACAGGTGCGGTGGGTGAGAGGATTCTCCAGAGACAGAGTGGGGAGCAGAACAGGCAGATTGACAGAAGTACACTGCTGAGGGGAGCAGCGGGTGAGTCAGGAGAGGTCTGCTGTGCCATGTGGGTAGCTCCCTGGCGGGGGATCGAACTTGGGCTGCAGTGGCTGCAGATAGCTTCATAGTGCTGTGCTTAACACTTTGTGCCACCAGGGAGGCCCCGCTTTCTTTTTTTAACATTCAAAAAAAGTTAGGTTTGTTAGAAGGTGGGAAGGGAGATGCCGCTTGCACAAATACAATTGGGCAAGAGAGCTGTGCCTTTTCTCTTCCTTAAGTTGGGTTGTGTGAGGAGTATGTTGTGACCTTGAGGGGACAACTCTAAAAAGGAAAAGCTAATATGGGGAAGGTGGTTGAATGTAAAGATACAAATATCCTGAATACTTTGAGCGGCTGCACCATGTTTTGGAATCACCTATCTCGACTTTATTGTGTAAGATAATTGAGTCTTTATTGTCTGGGCTCTGCGCTCTGTTGCTTGGGTGTTCTGTTTCTTGAAGTGGAAAAAATTCCTACAAGTATTTGAGGTGAGCTTCTCCTCCAAACCAGAAACAAAAAACAAAAAGATGCAAAAAAAGCACTGCTTAGAAAGGTGTGTGTCTATTGTATCTGTGTCATTGCAAAGTTTTTCAAACACAGTGCTTTTTGAATAACAAAGTACAGTTTGGTAAAGATACAATAGCCTGGAATTATTCCAGTCACTGCTAGTTCGGGATGGGGATCATTATGAATGCATCTGACAGAATGGATTAGTACTAGAGTCAAGTGTTGCACAAGTGTTTTGGTTTATGACCTACCACATACTAGATGGTGATCCCAACATTTTTATTATCTAGAGATGTGGTAGCTGTCATAATGCTGAGGCATTTATGCTAGAGCCAACTTATACATCTTACGTTTACTGTCTCTTGATGTGTCTGCCATTTTGCTTTGTGTTTGATTTAATCTCGTGTTCCTCATGGTGCCTAAGCATTCACAGTTCACTACTACTGTTGCATTAGCACAAGGAGGACATTGCCAGATGACACATTTCCTCAGAAAATGTCCCTGTCCCTACACTTGTATGACTGTAATTAGGGCTATGACCTGTCAGTCATATAGATTGAATGCTATTGTAAATAAGTTTTTTAAAACTTACTTTAAAAAAATCAGTAAAATTTGAGGTGATGACAAATATCCAGCTGCAGGCCACTGGGGGGAAAAAACTATTCTGTGGTAGATTTACTTTGGTGGCCCCAGTGAACCATGACTCTCAGAGTTTATACCCTTGATTGTTCCCTCTTAGGCTGACCTGGTGACTTATGTTAATTTATAGTGTGTGTTGGAAATGATGCTGTGCCTTTCTAGGCATCTGCCTTAATACCTACTAACTTCTACTTTTGCATTTGGGGGAGGCCAGCTGCCATGTTGAAAGTTTGACTTCTCAGACTCCCATGCTGTGAAAAATCCATTCTGGGGGCCTCCCAGGTGGCGCAAGGGGTTAAGTGGCAGTACTGTGAAGCTGTCTGCAGCCACTACAGCATGAATTCGCTCCCCAGCTGACCAGGGAGCTAACATATGTGTCGCAGCACTGCACCTGTCTCACCCACTGCTCCCCCGAACTGTGTATTTCAGTCAATCCGCCTGTTCTGCTCCCCACTCTGTCTCTGGTGAATCCTCTCACCTCCCTGCTCCCCCATCCCCCCCACACCTCTTGCCTATGCCCCAGTTCTTGTATGCATAAATAAATAAATCTTAAAAAAAAAAAAAAGAAAAAAGAAAAACCCACCCTAACACTGGAGAAGCACTGAGGCCTTGTCTAAAAAACTCTAGTTGAACTGCCAGCCAACAGTCCCCACTAACTCCAACCATGTAAAGAAAGCTATTTTGGGAGCAGATTCTCCAGCCCACTGGAGTCACTCCATGTAATTCCATGTGGAACAGAGACAGGCTGTCTCTGCCCAGCCCTGCTCAAGTTGCAAAACTATAAGCAAATAAAATGATTGAGATTGTGGTTTCAAGCCACTAAGTTTTGGAGCAATAAATAACTGACATGTATTGTTATATGAATAGCTATTTGTACTTGGTTTAAAAAAAAAAAGAATTTCCTTACCAATAGAGCTAACTGAGCATTAGTTTGCACTTATTTCTGTTTGTTTCAATTATTATTTTTTCATGGGAATTGTTCCTATTTTTCCCTTTGTACATTTCTAGAGGTTGGTGAAAGGTCCATGCAGGAGGCCTGAATGCAGGAGCCAACCAGGAAGCCCACCTGGGGGGCAGGAATGCGGATACCTGCCTGGAGGACTCAGACAATGAGCCTCCCCCCTTCCCCTAGGAGTCTCATCTCAGACAAAGAACCTCTACCTGCCCTATAAACTTTTCCCGCCCTTCGAGCCCAACTACCCACCTGACCTCTCCTCGCCCTATAAAACCCTGCTTCCCCCTAACAACGTGCGCGGCTTCACTGACCCCCGCCTTGGGTCTGTGAGGTCCGCCCGGGGCGCGATAAACTTTCCCTCCCTTTGAGAAATGTAGCCTGGCTCTTCTTGTCTTTACTGCGCCGAACCTTTCAGTTGGGAATGTATATCTTTTACAATTTTTTAATTCTCACTAGGGATATTAGGTTTTCAAAAGTGACTGCCTTGGCTGGCTTTCACTTGGATCACAAAGTAAGAAAGGGTCACAAATTTAAAAAGTCATACCTTTGATGGTCACTAGAGTTTAAAGATAGCAGTTGGTGTGACTTGGCTGTGTTTGCAAAGAGTGTACGTGTGTGTGACTAGGTGGGATTGGGGAAGGGAGATAAGTAAAAATTGGAGGTTCAAGACTAGTTAGGAAGAAAATTTTACAGTAATCCATATCCGCAGTGAGGAAAACTTGAATTAAGCTAGACCAATGTAATGAAGAAGACAGCTAGTGGAGACACTATAAGAGGAAACCCTACAGATCAGGTGTTTAGAGGTGACACTCGAGGTAGAGAAAACTAAAGATATGGGGGATTCTGAGCAGGGAAGTCAGGAAATTGGTGGTACCACTGACATAAATGGAAAAAGTAGTTCACTGGTCTGTGGCTTGGTTGCTCTCAGATCTTCTCTGTTTTTCCCTCTCTATTTTGTATCACATGGGACTCCATTTCCTTGAACGCTGGCTTCTGGATCGATCTGGCAGTGGGAATCACTGACACAAGAGTGGAGAGAGGAGAGAGAATGTAGGGTATTTCTCCTCACTTTTCTCTGCTTCCTGTGTTATTCCTAGCAGCTGCTCCTCCTCCTTGGCCAGATAATCTTTCTCTCCTGATTAGCTCCCTCCATGAAGACCCTGTTATAATTTCAGAGCCCTCTGGATGCCCTTAGCGGTTCTGAGCTCTAGAAACACTGCTAACTTCAACTGCCTAGGACAGTATAGCAACCACCTGCTGTTACCAACTTCTGAATTGCTTCATGATTCCCTGTTTGATTTCCCTGTAGAAGAATCGTTCTATTACCCATATCCCAATTTCTTGTAATAACGTTCCTCTGACATCCTTAAATATTTTTTGTTTCCCGCTGTACCCTAAAAATATAGCACAGAATTTGTGTCACTTATAAAGTAATAGTCTCAGCTCCAAACCCAACCACTTTATAATGCTGGGGCTGGTACCCTACAAACTACATTTCTGCTTCACCAACCCAGGTGCCTGTTCCACTTCAACAATAAAGGACACCAGAGGAAAACTGGAAGGCTGGAGGAGGGAAAAATCACTTGCTCCTTTTGTTTGTTACATATGGGTTTCCTGGCTAATATCATGTCCAGTCAGCAGGATTTCAGCAGTGCTTCCTCATTCCACCAGTTCTTCCCATAGCAGTTGCTAAATCCTGTTTTTAATTTTCCATCACTGGCAAACCAACTGTATGTCACCCTCTCAGAGGCACACCAACTCCTCTTGCCTGGTGCTCCCTCTTCAGAGATCTGATTTTCACTTGTATGGGGCCTTTCTTTAGGCTTCAGTGTTCTAATAATCCTATCTTCTTCCCTTTGTTCCCTGAGAGGTGGGGTGGTGTTGGGCACCTGCTGCCCTAAAAGGGAGCTGGAGTTTTTGGAGAATACCTGTTTACTCTGCATGCGTTGTTCCAGGACATTAGAAGTTCTGCAAACAGAACTTCTTCCCAGAATTGACTCCTGTTCTCTGAGGACGTGCTGGCTTCTGTGCATGTTCCCTGTTAACCAGGAAAACTTGTTTTCGTTGTAATTTATTAATCTGTATAAGGAAAAACACAATTACATGTTATTTTCTTGTTCCTTTGTTCGTATCTTTCATAAAAGCTTGGGCTTGGAGTGTGAAAGGCAGAGCTGCTCTTGATGGCTCTCCCCAGCCTCCCCCCACTGCAGATTCATTTAGACTCCTTCGTTAATAGCAGAGAACTTCATCTGCTGTCCTGTCCGTGGCAGGGTGGTAGCTGCTCCCTGCAGATGCTACTTCTGTGATCATTCAGAGTTCTCCTTTTACCCTTTCAGTTACCTAGTTGACAACTTTATACCTATTTAGCAATTCTTTTTGTTCAATTCTCTCAAATCACTGGTGTGATTTCTGTCTGAGTGGATCCTGACTAGTACAGAATTGGAGCTGGATTTTGGGAAAGATGTTGGATTTGGTTTTGGATAAATTGAATTTGCAATGACAGTGTCAAATTGAATTTGACAATATGGCACTGAAGTTTGGGGGAGAATTGGGAACTGAAATATTTTGTCACTGTCAGCATTGATATGATGATGGAAAGTATAAGATGACTTGAATTTTGTGGGTGAGCGGTGCAGGGGAGCCAAGAACAGATGGTTCAGAAGGGTCTCGTATACTCACAAAGAAAAAGCAGTAACATTAAAAAAAAAATCACAAACTTAAAGTTATG